GCTCCTAGTCTTGCAAACGTATTCATGGCTAGATGGGAGGAAACCGCGATCTATGAGCAAGAGTGGCTACAAGAACAACATACAAGCCTTCCATGTTACAGGAGATGATCAGAGACCTCTGACATGTTACAGGGGATGGTCATAGGCTGTTGGCATGTTACAGACGATGATCAGAGACTGCTGACATGTTACAGAAGATGATCAGAGACTGCTAACATGTTACAGGAGATGGTCAGAGACTGCTAAATCGTTACAGGAGATGGTCAGAGACTGCTAAATCGTTACAGGAGATGGTCAGAGACTGCTAAATCGTTACAGGAGATGGTCAGAGACTGCTGACATGTTACAGAAGATGATCAGAGATTGCTGGCATGTTACAGAAGATGGTCACAGGCTGTTGGCATGTTACAGAAGATGGTCAGAGACTACTGGCATGTTACAGGAGATGGTCAGAGACTGCTAAATCGTTACAGGAGATGGTGAGAGACTGCTGGCATGTTACAGAAGATGATCAGAGACTGCTGACATGTTACAGGAGATGGTCAGAGACTGCTGACATGTTACAGGAGGTGGTCAGAGACTGCAGGCATGTTACAGGAGATGATCAGAGACTGCTGGCGTGTTACAGAAGATGATCAGAGATTGCTGTCATGTTACAGAAGATGGTCATAGGCTGTTGACATGTTACAGAAGATGATCAGAGACTGTGGGCATGTTACAGAAGATGATCAGAGATTGCTGGCATGTTACAGAAGATGGTCATAGGCTGTTGGCATGTTACAGAAGATGGTCAGAGACTGCGGGCATGTTACAGAAGATGATCAGAGATTGCTGCCATGTTACAGAAGATGGTCATAGGCTGTTGGCATGTTACAGAAGATGATCAGAGACTGCGGGCATGTTACAGAAGATGATCAGAGATTGCTGGCATGTTACAGAAGATGGTCATAGGCTGTTGGCATGTTACAGAAGATGATCAGAGACTGCTGGCATGTTACAGGAGATGGTCAGAGACTGCTGACATGTTACAGGAGGTGGTCAGAGACTTCTGGTATGTTACACCAGGGGAAATGCTCAGTTGTCATTATTGATATTGATGTTATTCGATGCAGTGGAAGTGGTAGGTGGCAGGTTATCCACACATTTACCCTAAAAGGAGAACTATTGGGAGAGTGAATTACAGTTACATCCCCATAGTCAGAGCCAACGTGAGACTCTATACATTGACAACTGAGAGATCCCAGACCTCTGATGGCGGAGTTCCCGATCATCTCCCTGAAGAGAGCGGTGACTATCAGTCACAGTCATTCCCCCTCCCCTGTCCCTTCCTCCAGTGCTCACTGAAAGGGCAAACAGGGGAGGGCACAGCTGTCAATCAGGCAGCGGGGTGGATCCTGACAATATTGTGGGGATCTTTCCCAGCTGCAGCACAGCTCTGCACTGTCAGCATATAGCGGGCAATATTGTATGGTGGGGCGGGGGTGTGGCAGGGGGCCCAAGAAAATGTTTGCCCAGGGTCCAATCAATATTAAAGACGACCCTGATGCCAAGGTAGGGAAGCACAGGAGAGATGGGGTGTGTTAGGTGAAAAGGATTTGGTTTAGGTGACTGTATATGCAGGGGCATAGAGAGAACAGATTCCCCCCAATCCAGTTTATGGGAAAACAATATTTCAGGTTAGTTTAGGAGGTGTTATATATCAGACTTAGAAAAGCACAGGACAGCAAGGGTTAAGTTTAAAATGTAGGTTTGGTTTAAATGGTTCCATATGATGGGGTAGTGATAAAGGCAGGGGTGGGTTAAAGTAATATTCTTAAGTTCGGTTTGGAGGGCTCTATACGGGGTCGGATTTACTCTCTCTGCTGCCCCAAGGCCAGGTCCTCAATGCGCCCCCTACCTGCCAAACCACCCCCCCCCATGGAGAATGGGAGATCTGCAGGCTGCATACATGTGATCTCAGCGACATCGCCGAGATCACTTGTTCAAAACAAGCACTGGCTTCCCCGCTGTACATTTAGCTCTGCTTGCCCAAAGCAGGGCTAAATGTAGAAGACAACTACCCACCCAGTGTCCGGAACTGCATGTCCCGGGCATCGGGAGATAGGAATTCCACACCGCTGCTGCCCCTCTACTCCCTGCTAGGCCGGGCCTTGGTTGGCCTTGTGGGAAATCCGGCCCTGGCTCTATATGCACGGGTAGGAAAGCACAGAAAAGATTCTGATGGGTTTAGCTAAAAAGAGCTTAGGCTGATTTATTAGATGTCTCTATGTGTTAGGGTAGCAATGCACATGAAAGATTGTGGTGGGTTTAGCTAAAAGAAGTCTCAGGTTGGGTGTAGGTAGCCCTTTATGCTGTGATAGGAAAGCACAGAAGAGATTCAGATGGATTCAGTTAAAAGAGGTCTCAGGTTGGGTTTAAGTAGTCCTATATGCAGGTGTAGGGAAGCACAGAAAAGATAGGGATATGTACAGGTAAAAGGGGCCATTTTATAGGATAATCTGACCGGTATACATTGGTTATACATGATGGATTTGTATTCCTTTTCTGACGCTAATACCTGGAATTATGTGTAAAGTAGGCACTTCCCCATATAACAGCAAGCAACATCATAGGTGCATAAATGCTACTGTACAGAACGTGTAATGGCCAACAGCCTTAAATTATTATTATACAAATTCAATTAAATTAAAGACCCAGTGGATTTGCTGGACACATTTCACTATCACTTATTCTGTGATGAAGCCCCCTACCCTGAGAACTACCAGCATGTTAAAAACATTGGTCTGTCTGGCAGTTCCACCCATTACCTACTTCTGAAAGCTACTGATGGCAACCAATGAAGGCACTGATGGGAAGATGTCTTTCAGTCACTTCCCCCACTCTATAATTTCATAAATACTCTCTAAATGTGTGACTGCTTTTTAGTGCCTTCCCGTAGAAAATGTGGGTTCACAGCGGCAGATATTTAGTAGCCATCATTTAGCAGTAACATCCATTGATTGGAAGATAGTCATCTGCTGCATCAGAAGCTGATGATAGCCATAGCTGACTTTTAAATAGATAGTGATGAACAGTAATGGAAAGGATGTAGAGTGCCAGAGTAATAGGGTATGGTATCATCCAGGGATTGTAGGTCTGTGGAGGTTCTTACATGTCTCTAGTTTACAGTGTTATACAACATTATCACAAACAATCTCCATACACTTATGACAGTAATGCAGTCAGTATTTACACAAGAAAACCATATCTCAAAACTCTGAGACTGGAACATTTGTTTTTATAATCTAATGTGGAGCTAATATACTAAATAAGTAATCTTCACTCTAACCTATATTTAGTTTAATAGGTCAGGTGTAGGGGAATTCCAAACTGAAATTTGACCTGAACTGGTTCAGCATAGGCTATGGTGAATACTAGAGTATCTACTCCTGTATAAAACAAGCCACAAGACAAAGCCTTTGAGATCAAATCTATATGACCTCTCATTATTAGAGTGCAAAATATAAACAACATTTATTTAAATAGTTCAGAGCAGAGGACTTTCTTTTAATCTTGATATATTAATGTATTGCCCCAGACTTCAGAGTCATCACAATCCTTAAAGTCCTGAAATTCAGGTACACGTACTATACGGCTCTTTTATAAGATAACAAAAAAAATAGATAGATACTGTAGATAGATAGATAAATAGATACGATAGATAGATAGATAGATAGATAGATAGATAGATAGATAGATAGATAGATGGAGAGAGAGAGATACGATGGAAAGATACGATAGAGAGATACGATAGAGAGATACATTAGAGAGATAGATAGAGAGATAAGATAGATAGAAGGCGCTTGATGCAAGATTTGTTTAATTATTTGGTGTGAAGATTAGTCCAGGCTATAGCATACAATGGTTTGGCAGATCTCTAGAACAAAGGAATTTAAAAGGTGCCACAGCTAACATTGAAGGTTGTAGGGAAAACTAGAGAGCCGCACCAAAGATTTGAGACCAAAAGTATTGCTTTCATCAAAAAATATGCAAAAAATTTGTCTGAGGACACACGTGTGTATGAGCACTGAACATGAGTCAACACTTACCGACACTACAATTGACTTGGCATACAGTTTGATTGTATTTTGCATAAACGATACTGCACGGCATATATGTGTACATTTAGTAATTTTTATATATCTTGAGGCATTTGAAAAAAAGCCCCTTAGGGGCTGATTTATAAAGCAGCAATATGGTTGTACCTTAACCATAGCTGATGTATAAAAAGAAAATATATAAACCACATGTTTATAAAGCAAAGTGGTGTATTTAGCACTCCCCCAGTTGTTAAAATAAATGGCATATGTGAGGGGGAAAAAAGCCAGGATGAAAACCCGGTCAAGTGACCTGTTAAGGTTATGTGACTGGTTCCCCTCCAATCGTAGAGTTCTCTCTACAGCAATAACCAGAGGATACTACGGGCTCCGCATCATGGCCTCCATTTTTTTAATAGGCTGCAAAATGCAGGCCACGGTATGGGTGAGACCTCTGGATTATAACTGTGTTCGGATAGCATCATCCACTCCTTATTATAAATAAGCCCGTTAGTCTTTCTGGAGACTTTTACATACACAGATAATGTGCAGCCTCTACAAATTTACACAACGTGAATGGGCACGGATGTGTTGCAGCACTATGCAAAAATGTTATGCCAACTTTCTACAATGTATGTACATCCCACTATCAGATGTTCAAGATATCAAGGCTGTTTTTAGTAGGGGCATTTTCATTTTAGTAGTTTTGTGTGTTTACAGTGCTTGGTAATTCTCTTATTCCCAGCCTGTACTTTGGTACTGAATGTATAGAATTACTCGTTTTTAAACTATTCTGAGCTACCATCTTGAAAAATCAATATTTCTTCTTCCCTTCCTTTTTTTATATGAGCTTGGTTTACTTGCTGAATTTCTCATTTGATATCTCTGTCATCCCCAAACGTTTTATTTTTCTCTTTATTTCAGGCATGCAATTTCCCACTTGAACTTTATGAGGTAATTTGAATGTTATTTGTCGTTAACACAAAGAGCGTCCTGTATGTGAGTCTTGTTTAATTGTTGTGGCAGTGGCAGATTGATAATGTATGTTGGTGAGCTGTTTACATTTTGTGTTTACATCTTTAGGCTTGGCTTTATAAATCATGAAAAGAATGTGTACACCAGAATAGTCTATCTATAGATGAAGTCTTTCTCATAAACAGATTGATTCAATAAAATTCGTGGAAAGAAAATGGACACAAAATCTGAGTTTCTGCAACCAATAATAACAACTTTTATTTCGTTTAATGTTTCATGATGAAAGGGGAAACCTTTTGGTTGCCATTGTCAACAGCTCCAGCTCCTTTTTTTCTATTTCTCTTGAATCATCTACAGAATGCTTTGAAGTCAAATGTACTACCGAAAAGTACCAGTGGTCTCCGAACAGTAGAATCTAACTGGCTAGCCCAACATTAGGTTCATCTCTAGGGAATGTGCCCTCTGGAATGTCTGCAAAAGTGCTCCAAGTCCAACATGGCCATGACATTTATATTACTGGCTGGTTTCAGAACATTAGCACCATAGGCAGGGAGGCACATGCTGAGAATCTAACTGGCTAGCCCAGCATTAGGTTCATCTCTAGGGAATGTGCCCTCTGGAATGTCTGCAAAAGTGCTCCAAGTCCAACATGGCCATGACATTTATATTACTGGCTGGTTTCAGAACATTAGCACTATAGGCAGGGAAGCACATGCTGAGATCAAAAGTTGGAAAGGATTTCCTAAACATAATGATATACAACTAGAAAACAGTATGCATACTCTGCTTGATGGAGCCTGGCCTGTCTTCTGTTCCTTGGAGACAGTATAAACCTTAATGTGATATTTTCTGAGAGCAAATTTTGTAATATACTATCAGCTTCTAGAACACTATGTGTTCTTTGTATTGAAGTCTTAAAAGATTGGGTTACATGCTAGGTAACCTTCCCAAAAATGGCTCTGTTATAATATATTTGGGTGCTTGTTTTTACTGGGATACTGAAGAGTAGGTGCAAGTGAGCTGGTTTCCAACATGATTGAAAATAAGGAATGGGGTTTGGTGGGTTATCAACTTATAGTGTATAGCCAAACCCTAGACAGATATAACAAACAGTTACTGCAGCCATGTACACTATGCAGGGTTGTCCCTTTAATAAGGCAGCCTGAGACTGTTGCCTCAGGCGTCATCTGTTTGGGTCACCCTTTCCTGCCTCACCATCCCAGGTTACTAAAAGCCAGGTGGGAAGTTGTGAAGGGCCATATGCATCTCCCCACCCAGCTGTTAGCATTAAAGAGGAACTTCACCCATCTTCAAAATGACAACAAAGGCACCTTCAGAAATGTTCAATGATGACAGTCTACAAACAGATACTTATAGATAATTGCAGGCTTTTTATTCTTTGCATACTTCATTTTTATTTTCCTCCCCATTCTTCTCATAGTAGCCATTTTCACTAATCCATCCATTTTCATTAACCCATCTCCCTTTACTTCCTAGAACTCTGGCACATGTGAGTAGGACATGTGACCATGCACAATATCTCAGGGTGAAAAAATACCTTTCTGAGTATCCTGAGATCTCATGAGAGTTTGCAGGTTACAGATGAGATTTCCCAGCAATGCACTGCTGGTGTAACCTTCCCAGAATGCATCTCTTAGGCATGGGCTACATCACTAAGGCCTAAGAGGACTACCAGGAAGAGGAAAAATAGTACTTGTAAGTAAATTAAAAATATTTTATTTACCTAATGAATGTAAGATGATTTCACATCAGCATGCAGAACTAAATGCTGATGTGATTTTTAGTCAAAGGGGTAAAAATACGCTTTATGGAGGACCTTGCTTTTGGCTATGACTATGCAGCATTATGGCTACTTATACTGGCCACATTATTGTAAACAATTTGGAAAGTATATACGGTAGCAACATTAAAATGGAGTATGCTTAATGCACCACAGGTAACACTGGCTGTTATTGTAATGTTGCACCTAACGCTACACCTTTTCCAAATGTGTGCCTTTGGTAAGATGGTTTCCTGATTCTGATCCCTGGTGGATGTTTTACCCTTTTTGATTATATTTTTCTTTGTACTAATCAAATAACAGCAAGGGTGGCTATGAGGATAGCTAATGGCCGACCATAATGTGCTTGTTCCTAGCTGTAAATATAGCTTTGTATCTATAATAGAGTTAAGAATAGTATTATTCCGTAAACATAAAATGCATCACTGCTACACCTCTATTTCACATTATACTCTATATTTGAGGAAAACCAAACAGGTGCAGTGCACAGATGAATTACATTTTAAATGTTTTATTACAGTGCAACAATTCTTTTATCCACTGTTAATAGACCTACCAAATCAAAACAAAGTAATACAGAAACTCCCTTTTTGCTTTTATAACAGACAAAGAGCACTGCTTACACCCCCTCTCCCCCCTCACACACACACACACACACACACACACATGTAGATACATTAAATTAAAAGTGGAAACTGTTTATTACTCAGACAAATTGTTTAAGCTCTTGTTTGTTTACACTTTTGATAAAATGTATGTGTGTGTGTATGAGGTCCAGTGCTATTTATATGTTGTAAGGACAGATTTGGTAATTTTTAGTGGTGGGAGTTTCCGTAATATTTTAGTTTTGGTGGGTACAAAATAGTGGATACAAGAATTGTTGCATTTTTGTAATGAAACATTTTCAATTTTTTTTTACCTCCTTGGAGTGCAGTTTCATTTCATTATCTTGCATTTGTATGTTTCATATCATAAAAGTATTATTTTGACTTTGGTTAGTTCAATAATAGATTCAACCATAAAGAGGGACCTCAGAGAAGAAACGAAGGATAGGGGATTTTATTTCCAAAGACTTATTTCCTTACTTCCTTCAAATGGCAGCTAAAATATTGTTTGCCTCAGTGCAAGCTTTGTAACCTAACAAAGTGCTCTTCTTGCAAATTATTTTCATAGCGGGATAGTATAGATTGTACAGTTGTACAAATATTTGGCACTGAGTTGAATGTATTTTTTTTTGTAAAATAATTGAAAATCTGTAATCTCATACTTTTAAATGTAATTTTATATTATTACCACTAGATGGCAAGCGTGTTCTTTCACAAATATGTTTTCTTATAGCAAAAGCTGATATCATTTTTTAACATTCTTAGAAAACTTGCATTCTTTTTTTTTTTTATCAGCCTCCATTTTTACTTGTTTCGCATCTATCATATTAAGTGTTTATTTCATGTTTGAGCCGTTATACATGACTTAATCCTAGCCTGATTAAGCATAATTTGCAATGACTGAGTGAGAATAAGGCGGTTTGGGGTTTCTTGGTGTGTTTGTTGGGGGAAGGGGAAGAGGATAATGAGCACGTAGGGGATCATTGGAGGTGCTCATTGGAACATAGAGAATGTTTCCACTTTTTAGACATCATTCCACTTTTTATGGGCCAAAACTTGATTTACAATCTCTTTATCCTATATATTTATCATCAGCTGTTTAGTATGAGGGATAACCTGAACAATACATGCAATACACACTCACTTGCCACTTTATCAGTTACACGAGTACCGGGTTGGGATCCCCTTTTGTTTTCAGAACTACCTTAATTCTTTGTGGCATAGATTAAACAAGGTGCTGGAAACATTTCTTTGAGAGTTTGGTCCATATTAACATGTTAGAATCACCTAGTTGCTGCATATTTGTTGGCTGCATATCCACAATGTGAATCTTCCATTCCACCACATCCCAAAGGTGCTCTGTTGGATTGAGATCTGGTGACTGTGGAGGCCGTTTGAGTACAGTGATCTCATTATCATGTTCAAGAAACCAGTTTGAGATGATTTTAGCTTTGTGACATGGAGCGCTATCCTGCTGGAAGTAGTCATAAGAAGATGAGTACACTGTGGTCATAAAGGGATGAAAATGGTCAGCAACAATACTCAGGTAGGCTGTAGCATTTAAATGATGCTCAATTTGTACTAAGGGGCCTAAAGTGTGCCATGTAAATATCCCCCACACCATTACACCACCACCAGCCTGAATCGTTGATCCAAGGCAGGATGGATCCATGCTTTCATATTGTATATGCTAAATTCTGACTCAACCATCTTAATATAGCAGCAGAAATCGAGACTCATCAGACGAGGCAATGTTTTTCCAATCTTCTATTTTCCAATTTTGGGGAGCCCTTGTGAATTGTAGCCTTCATTTCCTGTTCTTAGCTGACAGGAGTGGCACTCGGTGTGGTCTTTTGCTGCTGTAGCTCATCTACTTCAATGTTTGATGTGTTGTGTGTTCAGAGATGGTATTGTGCATACCTTGGTTGTGATGGTTATTGGAGTTACTGTTGCCTTTCTATCAGCTTAAACCAGTCTGGCCATTCTCCTCTGACCTCTGACATCAACATGGCATTTTTACCCAGAGAGCTGCCGCTCACTGGATTTTTTCTCTTTCAGATAATTCTCTGTAAACCCCTAGAGATGGTTGAGTGTGAAAATCCCAGTAGATCAGCAGTTTCTGACATATTCAAATTGGCCTGACTGGCACCAACAGCCATTTGACATTCAAAGTCAGTTAAATCACATTTCTCCTCCTTTCTGATACTCAGTTTGAACTTCAGCAAATCATCTTGACCATGTCTACATGCCTAAATGGATTGAGTTGCTGCCATGTAATTGGCTGATTATTTGCATTAACAAGCAGTTGAACAGATGTACATAATAGAGTGGCCAGTGAGTGTTTTATCCTTTCAGTTAGGTCCTCAATCTACACAGTCGATAGTAAATTTAGAGGAGATTGCACAATCAGATTGTAACCTGTGTGAACTGCATTTAGGGCATATATTCACAAAATTAGGCAAATTGGACACCATCATGGGGTCTATATTAATTTGCTTTAGCTGGACATTCACTGGCATTTGTCTTGCAGATTCTTATTACATGCAGCATTGGTCTGCAGTGAGTGGGAAGGG